TCAGACGAGGGCTCTGCGTCGGAGGCAGAGATGGAGCTAGACAGCAGTGAGGCAGAGGAACAGCTGGAGCCTGTTCCCAGTGCATCCATGTGCAGAGCCGCCAAAAGACAAGACCAACTAAGAAAGCAGGGTCGACAGGAGTAAAACCACACCTTGGAGGTGATTGGCCCCTCCCATAGGACACAAAAGAGGAACCAATGGGGAGGGGGCTTTTGCAGGAAACAATTTGGTCATTTGAAGAGTGGAAAGTACTGTTTGTCTATAAGAGACTCTTTGCCAAGTGTTGCCTTGCCCTGCATTTGGAAACTAGTTATCTGGCAGAGATAAGGTTCGTGCTGATAGATATTCCTCTCAAAGCCAAGCTTTGCTGATTGTGAATGAAAGGAATTCACAGTCGTGTATCTAATAGATGTTTTGTCTGGACCAAGATTCTGCTCCTTGCTTTTTAAGGAAGCCTGGGTCAGAACACCACCCACAAATCACCAACCTTTGCTCGGTGGCACGGCTGCCTGGTGAGACTTGAAAATGTTGGCTGGGAGTCAGGATCTTGTGATGCAGCCCTCATTTGGAAAGGGGGGGGCTGTCCCCAGGGGCCCAACCCAACTGAAAGTCTCGGTTTTGGAAAAAGGAGATGTCTCAAAGAGACGATCTTTGTTAACATCCTTTTCCCAAGCCTTTTCTCCCCATGCTTCACATCCATTCACAGAAAGGCTAAAGTTACAAGGAGCATCCTCCCTTTGGCGCAAGGCAAATTGGGGGGCGGAGGTAGCTCAGTCGCAGATGAGTCCTTTGCCTCCAAGGCGGGAGGACGAGCTGCCTCACTTCGCCTGCTTCTGCTTCTTCCGCCGCGCCTGTTTTCTCAGCTTCTGCTGAAGCTGCTTCTGCTGTCTCTCCTGCAGGGTCTGGTGGACTTGGCTCTGGAACTTGAGCTTCTTCTTCTTAATCTTGGCCAGCTCGGCTTTCCGTTGCATCTCCAGATCAGGGTCCTGCCGGAAGCAGGGGAAAAAAGAGATCCCAAGATGCCCAAAAGCAGACCTTGTATGCAGGAGCCCCCAAACTGCCCCCCTTTCTCGAACCCTCCAACCCCAGCTGTTTACTGTAAGCATTTGCCTTAGAATAGACTAGAACAGGGAATGGAATTAGAATAGAATAGAATAGAATAGGGGATGGAATTCCCTATTCTATTCTATATTCTAATTCCATTCCCTAGACAGAATCGAGAAAGAGCTATCGATCTGTCAATCCTTTCCGTGTCCGGGCATAAAGGTGATTCCCGTGTTGAGACAAGTAAATCTAGCAGTTGCTCCTGATCTGCAAGCTTCCATTGATGGGAGGGTCAGGACTGGTGTGTGATTCCCACTTCGCCACTGCCTATCCTGGCAACAAGAGGATTCTTCCAGCTTACCTTTCCTTCCAGGATCATCTGCTTCCGCTTATTTATTTCCTTCTTCTCGTCAAAATCGGTTGCCTCCAGTCTCTGAGATTTTTAAAAAAGAACACGTAACATTGTGGGATTCCTTGATTGATATGTTTTGACAGAGGGTCAGGAAAAGTAACGGACTGGGCCTATCAGGCTCCAAATCCTCACTTGTCCAAGGAAACCATTTGGGGCTTGGGATCCAACTCCTTCCCTCTCCCTCCACTTACGATCTCACATTCCCGTCGGACCACGTTCACTTGGGTGAGGATTTTCAGCACCTTTTGCTCCTCCGTGGAAAACTCCTGAAGCTTCATTTCTAAAGGAGGGGATAAGCCAGACGTTGATAGGGTTAAAAAAAAAAAAAAGCAAAGCTCCATCTTTTCACCCCTTGAACATGAGCATCTCTGGCATTTCCTGCTAGGCAGGTAGTCCTCGACTTACAACACTTTGTTTAATGACTGTTGGAAGTTACAATGGCAAATGACCGTGTCAACTTGTAAAGTGTTTCCATGACTATTATCAAGTTGACGTGGAAAAGGGAGCGAGAATTCCATGCATCCCTTCGACCAGTGTCGGATCTCAGATTTCTACAGCAGGCATGTGAGGTGCGAAAGTTCACAGCCTGGTGCAGCACCTCGTTGGTGGATGTGATTTATGACACAGACTGAGGGGAGGGGAGACACAGGGGTAAAGTTCAGACACCATTAACCGGAAATCAGATTCGGCTCCGCAGAAGAACATGCCAAAATATTTCTCCTAATAAATGGCTGGATTTCTTTTGAACTTTGTCTCGAAGCTCGTAAATTAATAGGGCATCTTTTGGGAACTTCACAGACCGTTTTTCACACAACTTCTGCAGCATCCCCATAGTCAGGTGATCCAAATTCAGACACTTGGCAACTGACTCATATTTATGACGGTCGCAGTGCCCCGGGGTCATGCGATCCCCTTTTGCGAACTTCTGAGAAGCAAAGGCAATGGGGAAGGCAGATTCACTTAGCAATTGTGTTACTATCTTAACAACTGCAGCGGTTCACTTTACAACTGTGGCACGAAAGATTGTAAAATGGGGCCAAACTCACTTAACCAATATCTCACTTAGCAAGAGAAATGTTGGGCTCCATAGTGGTCGTAAGGTGAGGGTGGCCTGTAGATAAGAACCAAACTGTCTGTCTCCAATGGAGAGAAAGACTTGGGTATTAGGAATATAATCTAACGGTTGGGTTGGCAATATATACATCATGTAACAATGTTGTACCTGTTTCTTTAAATCATACTGTAAAATGTGAT